GGGATTTAGCTCAGTGGTTCTGCTGCCTGCCTTGAAAGCACAAGGTCCCGAGTTTGATCCCCGGTACCAAAAGAAACGGTGAGCATGGCACAGGCTAGGGAAAAGACGTACATCAGTGAGTAATTAGAGTTCAAAGTGGTCACTGCCAAAAGAGAAGCAAGTGCCAAGAATTATTAGAGCACATAAGAGGGTGGGACTGGGACTGGCTCTTCCTGCAGCCAGTGTGTGTGTGTGTGTGTGTGTGTGTGTGTGTGTGTGTGTGTGTATGTGTGTGTGTGTGTGTGTGTTACTGAGAATTGAACCCAGAACCTTCACACTGAGCTCCATCCTCGTGCTTTTTTAAAAAATTTTGAGACAGGATCTCACTAAGTCACTGAATTGCCTGGGCTAGACTCAAACTTGTGACCCTCCTGCCTCAGCCTCCCAGCGTGCTGATATTATAAGCATGCACCACTAGCAATAAGTGAGCCTTGAAAGGACTGCCAAGATGGAGAAAGGAATGGGTGGAAGGGGACATGGACAGGAGGAGGTGTTTCAGGTGAATGAAATATGATAGGTATGGTGTGGGCTGAGAGAGGTCGGCAGGCTCGGGATGGTGTGGAGAGGGTGGCTGGGTTGCTCAGTGGAGATGAAGCCGGAAGGGGAAACGGGGTAAGACCTTGGGCCGTCTTAATCCACCAGTACTGGGGAGCCATGTGGGCTTTGAGTAGAGGACTGGCTCTGATCGAGATGACAGATAGAATGCAGGGGGTCACTGAAACCCCAAGGCAGGCACATGAGCCAAGACCAGGCACATCATGCTAGGTTCCTAGCATCCCTCCAAGCACAAGCCAGCTTCCCGCCTCAGAGGTCCTCCTGTCATGTTATGTTCAGTTCCAGCACACAAGTCATTTGGCTCTTAGAACATCTGATGTCCCTGTGAGCAACTGCTTGTCCCCAGTTTCTCAGAGATATTTCACTTCCCATACTTGAATCCTGTGTTCTTGTACATGGGCTGACTTCTACAGGTGCCCCGGGCCCTGTTTATGCGGCTTGTAGACACAACACTTTCTCAGAACCGCCTCATTTTGATGCCACCCACATTTTACTTTTTGCCTTCTCAAATGGGTGCCCCAACCCAGGGGCTAATCTCATGATAAGCAGAATGACCCTAGCTCTCCAAATTGTGAATCGTCACCCTAGGAATTTGTTTTGGCAGCTGGATGTGGAACCCCAGAGAGTAGAGCACCAGGGCCCCTTCCAGGGGCTTCAAGTAGGGGCTTAAAAGAAGTTACTCAAGCCATGGAATGAAGGAATGAATCCTAAGCCTAGGTGCTTGTCCACATCCAGGCTGCCTGCAGTCAGACCCGCCAGGGATGGAACCCATGTGCAGCCCAGCAACTTCCAGAAGCTGAAAAGACACAGCATGCCCCTGGGAGGATGATGTTCTGAGTGCAAGCAATGGGCTGTGAACTGAAGAAGAGGGTCTCAGAGTTGAAATAGGTGTCCTCCCTCGGATGAAGATCCCAACCTTTTCCTCAGACCATTTGTACAGAGGAAATGCAGAGAGAAAAGCGGGCACAGAACATTCTATGGATGCTCAGGCACCAAGGAGAGGCTCTGCACACTCAGCTCTCCACTGCTCCCTGACATAGTGCCCAGTGCACAGATCCACATAGCAAGCCCTGGACCAATGGACCAGTGCTTGCCCAGGAAATGCCCACATTGGTGGGTATAGCCAAGGGCCCTGCTGTAAGCAGTGAGCACACACATCCCACCCAGGCAACAGTACCTTTGAGTCAGAGACACCCAAGAGCGTGGCTTTGTCAATGCGCTGCTGCTCCAGAGGACAAAACATGGTGGGGGGAAGTCTCAAGGAAGCCGGCCCAGCTGGCAGTCTGGAAAAGGCCAGGAGTGTGTGGGAAAACCTTGTTGTTTCAGTTTTGTGAAGGTTGACCGAAAAGCCAAATAGCGAGAGCCCCCTCTGCTTCAGAATTCTCCACATTCTTCTTCATTCCTTTAAGACCCCATGCTGTAGGGTTCTAGCTCAGCAAACAAACCACCACTACCTCTGTCCCCATTCAGTAAGGACTGCTACATGCCAGGCACTGATTTAGGTGCTATAAATGCTTTATTATTCTTCATCTGTTTTATGGCAACCTTGCAAAGTACTTGCTAGGATGTCCATTTTGCAAGTGAGGAAATAGAGCTGGAAAGAGGATAGGTGACTTGCCCAAGATCACATAAAAAGTAGCAGGCCAGGTTTCTAACTGGGCTCCTTATACCAAAGCCTATTTTCTTTGCCCTCCACTATATAACCTTAAACATGGCCTTATTGGTCAGAGCCCTGCAGGGGTTCCATGGCCATTTTCTACCTCACAGCCAATAGAAAAGTCCAGCGAAGGAAGACAAGGACAAGACCCTCTCCCAACACCTTTTCATCTTATACTGGAGGTATACCTTACATCAGTCTCTCAGGTGCCGGTGCACATAGGCGGACAGAGGTGGAATGAGGTTCCCAAGATGTGCAGGTGGGCCTTGGAGGCTGGCCTCAGCGGTGGAATCCAAGCTCCCCTCTTGTGACAGGGGAGGGCAAATTGCTCAAAGCTTCAGAGCCAGCTGGAAGTGTGGCATGTGCATGAATGTCTGTGTACACAGGTACATGTATGCATGCTGGAGTTGGTGGTGCGGAGGCCACCAAGACCAGAGAGGTGGCCCCTCGACACAGGCCCACACCAAAGGCCTCTGGTTTGTTTTAATGCAAGTAGTTTCTTTGGGACAAGAAGTGCCCCCGGGGAAGTGGAGAAATGAGACTCAGTTAGAAGGAAGCCCACACAGTGTCCACTAATTATCAGGTTGCTGCTTTGACCAGCTGGGGCTCGATCCCACAGGGGCTTTGGGGAGGCTGTACGGAGTGTGCCTCATAACTGTCCCACCGAAGGAACAATGATGCTAGGTATTTATGCCACAGCCTCCATTGTCCCTGGTGGAGCTCTGGAGCATTAACTCCTGGGAACCTCTTGCCAGACACGTTCCAGAAATCAGAGAAATCAAAGAGCTATTATTGAAGGTATTTATACCTCTGAGTAGTTCCGAGTTCCCTAAAGAGGCATAGAAACTGGGTATCAGTACCGTGGGCAGGCTGGGCAAGAGATGGGAGGAGGAGAATGAATGTTCCTTCCAAACCCTGGATGCAAGCTGTGGTAGTAATGGGAAAGGGCTATTTCCATGTGGTCAGGGGAAGAAAAGGCACATGCTATAGCAAGGGGAGGTGAAGCTAGCTCTTAAAAAGAACTTTCTAATGATGCTAGTGAAAGAAAACATCAAAGATATCTAGAGCTACATGCGGCCAGACACCAACTGGTGGCCACACAAGGAATGGCAGAGGAAAGAACTGTGGAGGAGAACTGAGGCCAAGGCCATCCCGGAGCTCTCCTTCCTTTGTGGGGTCACAGAGGTGAGGAGAGATGGAGGTTCAGTGGAGAGGGTTCTTCACCTCACCCTTGGCTATCCTAGCTCCGGGCAGATCACCTCTGTGCACCCCACGGCTCGTGGAAGCAACAGGGAGAGGCCCTTCTCTGGCACAGCCTGGGCATCTCCCTGGAGGTGGTCTTCCGATGTAGAGAAGAGGTCGGGAGGCTACACTGGGTGGCCCTATGGTTCTTTCCAGGCCCGACCTTCTATCACTGCCCATTGTAGGAGCCTCTCCAAGGCCTTAGGTTCTCTTCAGTCCTCATCAAGTACTGACAGAGCACTCATCATGTGCCCAGCACTCACTGGGCAGATGAGCATAAAACAAAATCTGGGCCTGGGCTCTAAAAAGGGATAGGGATAGAAGGGGAAATGAGTTTATTTATTAGTCACGTACTCTGTGCTGAATACCTTGTAAATGTGGACTCTGTACTATCTATATAGTATTGTGTAGTATATTCTGCACTACACCCGCATAAGGTAGGCATGAGTATTCCCATTACACAGATGAGGAAACCAAGGCTCAGAGACAAAGCAGTTTGGCCAGTGTCGCAGAGTGTAGGACTGGGGCTTGGATGTGAGCCCATGCTGTTCACCATGATGCTGCTCCTCCTTTGTGAAACAGACAGCGACCCTCTAGGGACAGCTGCTAGGGTTGCTGCAGTCGCTTGGGAAGGCTTCTTGGAGGAGGTGGCTCAGCACTGGGTCTCGAAGGAGAAGCAGAATTTGGAAGCTGGTAGGGAGCGAGGCACCCAGAGTGAACCAAGTCCCCAGGGCTGGAGTGTAGCTGCTCCCACCCATGAGCTGGCTTCCTAGGGCAGGCACAAGGGCAGCAGCCATTGCTCAGCCTGCTGGTGGCTCCTTGGGAGTACAGGAGGGACCAGGGGAGAACAAAGGCCTCCCTAAACCCAGCAGAGCAACAGTCCTCCCATAGGCCCAGCCCCCCAAACTGGGGCCACCCAACCTCAAGGGACTTCTCCCAAAGCCAGGTCTTGAAGCATCACTCCCTGGGATGCAGCCAGTTCCCAGGGGAATGGGCCACCTTCCAGCTTTCCCAGTCAGGGGCCAGGGAGCCAGACCATTGATAATTACAGTAGTTAACACCAATGTGTAGCAGTGACCGAGAGACAAGGAATTTCAAGAACTTTAACTCTCATACGCCTTCCAAAGCCCCTGGGTAGCAGGTCCTATTATTGTGCCCGTTTTATAGGTGGGGAAACAGTTGTAGTGAAGCAACCTGCAATGGGCCAAGCAGCTGAGAAGAGGCACAACTGAATTCACCCAGTCACCTGCACTATTCTGCTTCTGCTTCTGAGCAGAGGGCCGTGGGTTCTGGCCAGGGCCACTCCTTGCCTCTATCTCAGATGCCCTCCCCAAGTTCAGGTTCACCCTTGGCCTGGGGCTCCTCCCTGCCATCACAGCCCATCCCTAGAAGGAAGTGCAGGGGACACCCTCACTGGTGCCCATCCCTGGAAAGGCCCAGGAAGTTCAGGCTGCATGCACCCCATGCCCCTCTCCCCCAACCGAGCCCCATTGCCTTCTGTTCACAGTGACGGCTCCTGTGCCCAGGCCGGTGGGGGCATGGAGGACTTCGCAGTGGCAGCCGGCAGACCCAGTGTCCATGCCCCGAAGGCTGAAGCCCAGGAGCTGCAGGAGGAGGAGGAGCGGCCGGGGGCGGGGGGTGCCTCCCCCAGGGCTGGCCTGCATCGTGCGGCCTCCCCCGGCCAGCAGCAGCCTGCCCTGGCGACGGCGCCCTGCTCCCACACCCCTGGCGCCTCTGATTACGAACTCTCCCTTGACCTAAAGAATAAACAGGTACCCAGGGCCTCCTAGGGGGGCGGGGAGGGTGGAGAGGGCCCTGCCTTGGGGGCTGTCCAGGGTACCAGGGGTCGCCCCATCTGGGCCCACCCGAAGCCTCACCTCTCCTAGCACAGTTCTCCTGAATCAAGCTGCCTAATCTGCCTCGAAGGCCCGTTCCTCAGGGAATGCGCTGTAGGTCACTGCCGCCCTCCCATCCAGGGACCTCATCTTGCAGGGAGCACACTCTTGTACTGCCAGGCCCTTGGGCAGTGTGGCCAGGGGCTCTGACCCCTCACAATGAGTAGGAAGACTTAAGGCCTCACAGACACTGCGGCAAGCAGCCCTCTGCTCACTAGCGAAGGCCCCACTTCCACTTTGCCTAGAAGAGGCAGCCCAACTCACACACCCACCAGGAGCAAGTGCCATGCCTAGGCACACACACGCACAAGTGTGGTGCCAAGTGGGTGGCCTCTTCTAGGCTGACGAGGGCTCCAAAGACTAATCCAACCGGGGAAGCCCCAAGATCCCCTTTTGGAGACCAAGCACCATGGAAGGGTTAGGAGAAAAGGGTCGGTCTTGGGGCCCCCATGAACCTAGTAAAGACACGATGCCATGGCATGTCTTAGTGGACAGTTAAAGAGACCCAAAGAAAGGCAAGTGTGTGTGGGGTGTGTGTGTGCCCATGCTCAGAAAAAGACAGGATTGTGTGATACTGTTAAGAGACAGAGCTGAACTTGTAGACATCCAATCCTCGCTGCTGCTCCTCTAACCTGTGTCTTTGTGAATACCAGTTAAGCACTCTTGGGCATTGATTTTCTCATCAGCAAAACTAGGAATTAAACTTCGAATTCCCTCCATGATCTCTTCTAGCTCTAGAATATGTAAGTTCTAAAGAATCATTCTGTGGCCCAGTGGACAAGGTGGATCTTAGGAAAAGGAAGCTGATAAGAGGCTACTAGGACAGAGTCACCAAACTAACCCTATCGCTTTTTGCAGGCATCATTGCCAAGCTATCATCCTGGGTCAGGGTAGGCAGTACATCTGGCTTTCAGTACAGCATTTTGACAAAAATCTCCCATAATCTCTACGTGAACAAGACGTAGGTGGATTAAATGACAATAGAGTCAGGGGGGTTGTTCTCAAGAAGAATTTGAAAACAGAAACATTGATTTTCCTATCAGTGCCATTTCCAGGTGAGGCCAGTGGAGCGCTGTCCTTGGTCCTGTCCAGGTCAACAGTTTTGATAAGGTACTGAATAAAGGTGTGAAAGTTACATTTTCCAAACATTCTTATGACATGAAGCTGAAGAACAGCTAGTACCTTGGTGACAGAATCCAAGATTAAACAAAAACTCATCAGGACAGAGAGATGGTTTCAGTGAAAAAAGTCAAATGAAATAGGGAGAAATCTAAAGTTCTGCTCCAAGCTTTGAAAAGCCTGCAGCACTGGTATGAGGAGCTGGGCAGCTTTGTCCTGGGAGAAAGGACATGGGCTTCCACTAACAGTGATGAGAGTCTATAAGCAGCCCTTGTAGGACGGTGACAAATGGAGCCACCAGCCAGGGGTTCCGCACTGGTCACTGGTTAGGGAGGGCTGTCCCTGTGCTTGGTTCTGGGCACTGCCTTTAAGAGGGCAAATGAGCATTCTGAGGTCTCTGCAAAAGGAAAACAGAATGGGCTGGGGTCATGTGAAGAAAATGTAGACAGGAAAACACATTTTAAACATGAGAAGGCTGGCATAATAATTAGATAGACACTTTCTATTATACTAGAGAATAAAGTGGTACTGAAATCTGTGAGAGGGGGAAAATCTTAGCTTATTTAATAATGGACAATATAGAATGATCTCTCTTTGAGGCAGCGAGTTCTTTATTATTAGACGATGGTCCACCAAGAACCCGACAGTTGGCTGAGGTGACAAGGTCCCCGCAATTCCACACGAGTCTCTTGAGGACAGAGACCCTCTTGTATTCATTTTTGTACCCTTTCCCCAGCATCTAGTAGAGAGCATTCTGGACGTCGTAAGAGCTCTTTGAGTGACATTTTGTTTTGTTTTGTTCTGTTCTGTTGTTTGTTCTGTTCTGGGGATTGAACCCAGGGAGAACTACGTGAAATGCCTGGCCCCTTTTACTTTTTTATCTTGAGATATGGTCTTGCTAAGTTGCCCAGGCTGGCCTCCAACTTTCAGTCCTCCTTCTGCAGCTTCCCAAGTTGCTGAGATTAAAGGGGTGCACTGTGATGCCTAGCTTGAGTATCATTTTTTTTTAAAAGTAATTATTATATGCAAAGCAAAGAAGTAGGGAACCAGGAAGAAAAAAAATGCTCCCTCCCTTCCCCCCAGAGAGGCTGCAGTTCCATTAAAGGTGTATCCAGTCAATAACACCAAAGTGTGCTTTGGCTTGGGCAAAAGAAATAGTTTAATCCTGACAGGCTGAATGGGATACTGAGAGCTGTAAAGAATTCTGAGTGATTCTACAGACTTTTATTTAAAAGTAGATAGGATCCCAATGGATTTGCATGCTAGGCTAGTGGAATTGGGTCAAGGAAGGTGAGAATAGGTAAAGGATCACTTCAGCGCTCTTGCCTAGTGAATCCAGCCCTAGGAAATAGCTCACCTCCCCTGACTTGTGTATCTTTCTAGACCAGGCATAGGCTGGCCATGGGAGAAAGAGAGCAAAAAGGGATTGAGGGGCTAGAGCAAGAAAAGTTATTGAAGACGTAGCATGGATTTCTGAGAGACTGAACTCATTCTCTTTCTGCCAATGAGCTGTGTGACCCCGGGCAAGCTGCTTGACTTCTCTAGGGTTCAGCCACCTGGTAAATTTCTTTGGGGCTTTGCATTCTCTTTTCTTTGCCTCTATCTCTGAGATTTCTTCAGCACTCTTGCCCTTGGGCTTCGAGCCTTAAGGCTTTTCTCTGGCAGCTTCCTCCTCTCTGGCAGTGTCCTCTGACTGCCAAGGCCGCAGTGGATGCCCCTTCTCCAAGATGTCATTACACATCCGGGGTCCCTGTCATAGCCCTTCAGCCTTGCATCAGCACTCCTTGCTGACATGGCTCCTCGAAGGCAGGGCATGTGATTGATACATCACTGTCTCCCCACTGCCAAGCACAGGCACTGGTACCAAGATGCCCAGAGGATGCCAAGGGAGGGAAATAACTTAGAGACACATGGGGTGGGGTGAGTGTAAAGCCAGACCAGGATCTGCCTGTCATCAGGTCTCCCGGAGACCTAGGGTTTAGGTTTCCGACACAGTGATCCTTCCAGTCTCTGGGATCCTCCCGTCCTTGGCCTGGAATGGGCCGGGACAAACGCTATCTCTCAGCCTCCCCACCCACTGGGCCTCCTCTGTCAGCCAGGCCAGAGTATTTCCTTTGGGTCTTCTCTTTCCCATCGTCTTCCCCATCGCCAAGCTCCATGGAGGCTACCTCTTGACTGTTTTCTCAATCCCACCCTCTCTTGCCATGCTGACCACCTTTACCCCCGGCCAGGCCATCCTCGACTCTTGCCTGCTTCCCCTGGGGAAACCCCGTACTGGCTTCAGCTAGGCCTCCTCCAACCCCACCCCACAGCAAAGCTGCTGCTGAGTCATCTCTGCAAAGGGCACGCCAGTCATACTTCCCCTGAGCCAGCGTGGAAACCTTGGACGGCTCCTGCTGTGTAGTGCAAAGGCTCCTCCAGGTTCCCCTGCCAGAGCCCCACACTGGGGACCCAGCCATGCCTGTTGCCACCCCCTGAGACCCCCAGCCATCCTTTGCCTCTGGGCCCTCCTGTGTTTTATTGCCTCTGTGGGAAACATTCCCCGCCCACCTCCGTCCCACCTCACTGGGGTGGTCCCAACCCATGCTTAGGCCTCAGCTCAGGCTCAGGGACCTCCTGGGCTGGGCATGTGCTTTGACTTAGCAGCTTACTCTGTGTTCTCTGGTAGTTGCCCCACTCATGAGGACAGGGTTGTACCAGGGCTGTGGCAGGACTGAGCAGACTGCACCGGACACCCCCAGGGTGCTTCAGAGGGAACAGTTGCAGCTCTGTGCATCAGATGCTGCCCTGCCCTGCCCTTGCCTGCCATTGTTCTCCTGCATTAGCCCTTGGAGCTTGGGAAAGGCTCTCATGAGCACACACGGATGAGCAGGCAAATGAAGGAGCTTCCCTGCTGCCCAGGACAGCGCAGGATGAAGTCCTCCTGCACCACTCTGCCGTCCTCTGTGCCCTCCCCACTTCCCGTCACAGTGATCCTTGGGGCTACAGCCTAGAGGGGAGAAAGAGAGCACACAGGGCCCTTTGGGAGGCCCTGGAGGGAAGTGGTGTGGCAGGGGCACAAAGGGTGTAAAGGGTGTGGTTTCCAAAGCCATCTAGAGGAGATGGCATCGAATTCTCTGCCGGTCTTGCTCAGCAGGCCATCCTGGCTGTCCAGTTGCAGACCTCTCTGCTGGCCAAGCCCGGGGTCATGCAGCTGTGCTCAGTGACATCTAGGCCTTGCTCCCCAAATCAGGGTCCTAAGCAGAGGCCCCAATCTCCCGGAGAACAGCCACCTTCCCAACAGGTCTGTCATGCCCAAGCCTCAAGTCTAGACTCATCATGGGACACCTTTCCAAGGGGCAGGGATTGGCTACATTTCCAAGTCACTTTACTTCTCTGAGCCTCCATTTTCCTCATTTGTGAGTCAAAGGGCTGCAGCAGGGCACCTCTAGGCTCCTTCCCATTTCCACCTGAGCACGGAGGGTACCAGCCTGCAGAGAAAGTGGCAAAGGCACAGCATTCAGCATCAGAGAACAGCGTTGTGCAGTTGTTCTGCCCTGGGCCTTGTGCTAGGCTGCCTGGGGATCCCACAGTGGCAGAAACACAGACCTAGTCCTCTGGGAACCCACACGCCAGAGGCGGGCACTCATACGCAAGCAGGATCAGCTAGTGCTAACCATGCACTGGCCTGGCTGTGTGTCAGGCCTTTGCTACACATTGTTTCCCAGATCTACACAATATCTCTATTGAGGTGGGCACATGGCTATCCTTATTTCAGCAACATGAAGACAAAGACAGAGGCCTAGAGAGCAGTGCAGGCAAGATGAAGTCCCCACAGTCCATGATTTTAACCCGGCACCTTCCACTATCCATTGCCATCACAGTGAAGGGTGGCAGCCCACACAAGTAGCACTCAAGGCCTATGGAGCCCTGGCCAGGGCCGGGAGCCTGAGCTGGGGCTCAGAGGAGGCTCTGGGAGCAGCTCTGCCCAAGGCAGTCTGTGACCTGGGTACCAGCTGAGCCACAGTGTGCCCCCACATCTCCCTGGCTATTAATGGGAGCGATCCCCAAGAGCGGCCATCAGAGCCCTGCTATGCTGATACTTACTCTGCCTCAGACAGTGGGCTGCGAGGTGGGCACCGAGGAGACATGGGAGGTCACAGCCCTCCCCCACACAGGCCCCCACCCCGTGTAGGCTCCCCGAGGAACCCCACAGGGCTCTCCCCTCCCCAGACTCTGCCCCACAGCCTCAGGTCAGGATTTGCCTTGCTAACTGCTGGACCCTTATGCTGTGCAAAGTTTCAGGGCTCTCAGTGGAAAAATCATGGATCAGAGGAAATCCTCGCTCACATTTTAAAGCCCCCCCCCACACCCGGCCCACATTCCTTGGCACTGTGCCTCCTCAGCTAGCTGCCCCCCTCCCCCTCCCCTGACTTGGCAGCCAGCTCAGTGGCCCTTGGCAGGCTCAGCTGCTGCAGTACCCTGGAAAGAGGGAGTGTTCTAATTAACACTGAGAGGCTCATTAGAGACAGACCCCCCCCCCGACCCACCCCCCTCTGATGATTCTGGCAGAAGCTGACAGATTGCTGTCTTGGGAAGAGGTAAGTCCACAATTACCCATGATTCATGGGGTGAAGGAGAAATGAGCAGGGCTGCTCCTTGGCTGGGGAGACCCAGAGGCCCCAGCCCCCCACATCCACCTCTCAGCTCTCTGGCCCGGCCCTGGTTAAGAACAGGATTAGGCAGACTGGAGGGTCCAGCTGGGGCCAAAGACTAGGGAATGGAGCTGACCTGGGGTGCTGCTGAGTCCCTAGTCCTATGAGAATGTTGGGGGAACATAGAGGAGGAGGAAGGATGGAGCATTTGGCTCCAAGCCTGGCTCTGAAAGAGAGACTGGGGTTTTATTTCCCCCAGGGCAGAGGAGAGAGTTCAGTTTATTCCATGTCCACAAACATTTACTAAGCCTCAACCATGGATCTGGCACAGAGCTGGGCACAAGGGATGAGAGGCAGATAGATCTACCTCGCCTCTGGAGGACAGTTTATGAGGACAGGGAGTTCTGAGTGGCGAGGAGACAGTGAGTACTGAGGGTGGGCAACGCTGGACAGAGGAGACAGTGCAACTGTGCAGGCTGGGCTCAAAGGCAGAGGCTGCGTCAGGGGAGATGACTGTGCTAAAAGGACTGAAACAAGAGGTAATGAGTCAATAACTGAGTTCAAACACCTTTCAGGGAGCAGCTGCTCCAAGCTAGTGCCCTGCAAGGTCTATCTGTGGATCTGAGGATGACCAAGGCCTATTTGATGTTGCAAATAACCTACGCTCTGTTGGGTTCTGAGGGAGGAGAATATGGGCAAGGATGGCTGGGTGGGATAAATACAGCAAAGAATCTTGGAGAAAACTGAGTGTCAAAGAGATGCTTGAAACAATATTCAGTACCGAGCCCAAGGCAGGGGTTCTGTCTGGTTGGGGGATGGAGAAGGCCCTGTGGAAGAGGCACATTTGGTATGGGTCCCGAAGGAAAGGGCCCGTGAAGGTCCCTACATGAAGGAAGTGGGTGAAGGTGGGAGGACACTGAAGCTGGGGGAGGCTGAGCAGGCTCCCCAGCAGGCAGGCCTGGTATGGACGGGTGGAGCAGGCTGAGGCACTGGGTGCACGGGAGGATGGGAGGCAGGCCACCAGGTCCTTGGGATGGAAAGCCAGGGGGAAGCATTTTACTCTGAGGATCTCTGAGGGAAGGCAGATGAGAGGTGAGGAGATATCAGCCTGTGGAACATGATTTGGGTGGTCACAAAGGCTCTGCCTGAGACATTTCTCTGCTTAGTTATTATCAGCTACCAGATGTGCTCTAATGACTTCCAACATGGGAGGCCTGGAGGGTGTCCAGACATGTAGGAGAAAAAATTAAAATGCACGCGGAGAATGGAAGACAGTACATGTATGACTTGTAAGTAACATATGTGGGGATTTTTTGGCCACAGTCTAGGACTGAGGAGTTGTATGGGAACAAGAAAACCAAGACAGATGAGGTCATCAGAGCTGAAGAAAGCCACAGCGAGGAGAGAGGTTGAGGACGGGCAATGAGTTTCAGTGACAAGGCCATTGCTGACCTTACTGAGGACCCGTTCAGAGGACCGGGGAAGCAGGAGCCAGAGGGCAATGAGGTCACTGTATGGGGCTGGAGTAGTAGTTTGGCACTGTTCATGGAGTGGGGAAGGGCGGACCCATTTTGGAAGAATTTCAGTGGGAAGTAGAAACACAGACTAGGCTAGTGCCCCACAGGCAGGGGAGTCAGAGGGAGCTATGTTTTAGCCTGGGGAGATGTGGGAGGTATCTGCAGGTAGGTGGCAAGGCAGCAAGCAGAAGGATAGAGGTTGTGAGAGAAAGCATGGCTCAGTGGTACAGCACTTGCCTGGCACAAGTTACGCCTGGGGGAATGGGTGAAGGCGGGAAATGTCAGTAAGAGTGGAGAGGATCAAGTGTGGGGAGAGGGGTGAGATCTCTGCTCAGGTCAGATGAGGAAGTTTTCTGTTGTTATTGTTGTTTGACATTCACAAAGTTAACTCTGCAATTAACTCTTTAGTTTATTCACTATATATTCATTGAATGCCTACTGTGTGCTGAGCACTGTCTAAGTTTTGGGAATGAAGCAATGAATGTGGCAGCAAAGTCTCTGTCTCCATGAGGCTTAAAGTCTAAGGAGGACTTGGTGGGACAGATACAAGAATTGTAAATCTGATTTTCTTCCCCACAGTGAAACATGACATTGACCAGTAGAAGAAGCCTTCTAAGGGTTGTCTCAGCCAGTCTGCCACCTACCTCTACACGGGTGATGCCGTGTTGAGGGAACAGACCCCTCTACTGTGCCAGACACATCTCAGGCAGTGGGTTTCCTACCTTTTCTCAGTTGCCAACAGCATCTCATGACTTGTTTTTTTTGGTACTGGGGATCGAACTTGGGACCTTGCACTTGTGAGGCAGGCGGTGGAACCACTGAGCTAAATCCCTGGCCTCATGACTTGAAAAGAATGCTCTTGGGCTTGAATTTCCCCAGAAAGACAGGGATAGAGTGAATTCTGGGCCTCGTGTCAGTTCTCACGGTGCTTGAGGACCAGTAAGAGGGTGATAGAAGTTGGAAGGGAACGAGGCAGTTCAGCGATGAGTTCATCTCACCCTCTACACTTTCCTTCAGAGGACATTCCTGCCCAGGCCAAGGCCAAATCTCCAATCCAGGCCTCAGAGTACATCCCAGAGCTCAGCAGAGAGATTGAGCCCAGCTACAATGTTCTCTGTCTTCTAGCATGATTTCTGCAAGAGTAGAAAAAGAAAGCCTCTGGGACACAGATATCCATATTTCTTCTGGATGCATGAGATCCTACTTAGACAAAGACCAAGTAGGCAACTGTCCCATTGGTATGGTAGGCAGGCTTCTAGGAGAGCCCCAAGATCCTCCCTTGGTACACACACCTGGTATAATTCCCTCCCTCATATTTGAGAGCGACCAACGGATGTGATGAATGTCACTCCTCTGATTAGTGATAGGATATGTCCACTATGCATTTCCAATGGATTTGAAACTGATATTTCCAATCGATTGACTGAGTTAATGAAAAGGGAGTTCATCTTGGTAGGCCAGACCTAATCAGGTCTACCCTGTAAAAGAAGGTGAAGCCTCAGAAAGATGACCTTCTCTAGGCCTTGAAGGAACAAACTATCATGTTGTGGAAAGGACTAGTGGCATGGGAAGTTTTCAGTAACTGAAGGCCTCAGTCCTACAATCCTACAGCAGAACTGAATTCTGCTGACAATAGTGAGCTTGAAAGAAATACCCAAGCCTTAGATGAATTTCAGTCTAGTAATGTCCTGGGCAGAGAACCCAGATGAGTTGTGCTCAGGCTACTGATTTACAAAGCTATGAGAAAATACATGAGTCTGTTTTAAAGCTGTTAAGGTTTTGGTAGTTTGTTACACAGCAGTAGATAGCTGATACACCTGTTTTTGTTGTTTGATCAGTTGGTTTTGTAGGGTGCTGGAGATGGAACCCAAGGCTTCACACATGCTAGGCAAGCATTCTACTACTGATCTATACCCCCAGCCCCATTCTGTTATTTTTTTTTTTTTTGGTACCAGGGATCAAACTCAGGTCCTTGTGCTTTCAAGGCAGGCAGCGGAACCACTGAGCTAAATCCCTGGCCCTCTGTTATGATTTTTTTTTTTGGTACTGGGGATCGAACTCGGGTCCTTGCACTTTCGCAGCAGGCAGCGAAACCACTGAGCTAAATCCCCGGCCCCCTGTTATGATTTTTAAGAGCACTTTGAAGAACCTTCAACATTACCCATTGGCAGGGGACACTTCCTCCTGCTGCTCAGAGCTTTAGACCATGTGAAATGCAGCTACTTCTGGTGGGAATCACATATGAAGTCTCATGGGCCATTCATCCTTTATCTGAATAAGCTTCTAACTACCCCTGGAGAGTAGGGCTGGATGTGGGGGGAGAGACAGCACGATGCCCCTAGGTTTAGGGGTGGAGATAGCACTGGATGGCAAGGTTGGAAGGGTTGGAGAGCACTGGAGATGTCTCATTTTACCTGGGATTGTCCCTGAGGAATAGGGCTGGGTCCTTGAGGTCTCCTGGGCTTTGAGATGCCTCTGCTGGTCCAGCGTGGGACACCATCCTTCCTGTAGGGAGGAGGGAACAGAGGGCATCATAGGAGTTTCAGGGAGGCAGTCATCCTAGCTGCAGACTTGGAAGGGTCAGGTGGAGCAGGAAGTAGATTGCAGTGTAGTATGGAGGGATAAACTTGACCCTTCTCTCTGTGCTCCTCCCCACCAGGATCCCTGGGGTATGGGAATGGCAATGTTCTTGTCTTGAGCAGCGAATCTCAGCCCACCTCTCCCAATTCTCAGTTCAGCAACGAAACAATGTGGCAATGATGGGGTTGGCTGTGAATGGGCCATCATCTCAGTGCCCAAGAACATTTTCTCACGTCCCAACCTTCTCCAAGAACCAGCCAGAGTCTCTATTACCACCCATCAAGCCTATCCTCTGAGGGTTTGTCTGTCTCTTATTGAACTGCAAGGCCCTCTAGGGGCACGATGAAACAGTATTAGCCACATCTTGGGGGAATGTCTCTAATTCTTTTCTGAGAAGTTTTCATAAAGGAGAAAAAGCAAGAACAAAGCAACCTAAGCAGAGAAACAACCACAGATGGGGTTAAGAGCTGAGAAGAGGTAGCAAGGACCCTGAAGAGAGGGCCAAGCTTTCCCGGGGCCACTGTGTGAGAACCCCAAGCCAGCCCCACCACGCCCTGCCCAAGCGGAGAGTGTCCACTGCAGATAACAGAGGCGACTTGGATTGTGGGCCTGTTGGGCATGGCGGCCTGGGGGAAATTCCACTCTTGAGACTTTCAGCTTTTAATGAATTGACAAGCACTGAGCACCTACCATGTGCCAACCATGGGAGCCGGGTACTGTGAGAGCACAGAAGATCAAACCCTGTTTCCAATCTTCATGACGCTCCCAAGGAAAGGGAAGAACCCCGATGCCATGCGGGGATGGGAGGGCAGAGATGGACAGAGACAGCAGGTGTTTATTTGGGGTTTTTTAAAAGCATTTTTGTTTAGTATTTCACTGTTCATTATTTTTATGTGTGTGCCAGAGTAGAAATAATAGTGTTATAAATTCCCATATAGCCACCACTGAGCTCCAACCATTTTTGTTAATATTTTTATTAATATTAATATGTTGTCTAACCCTTCCAATGCAAATTTGCAGGATTTTGATGCAAATCAAACACATGCATTTTACCTATAAGTACTTCTGCTTGCATTTCTCATGGGCACACGTTTTAATTACCATCACAGCAGCTGTATCTGAGCACCATCAGCATCTCCTCTCTGCACTGCCCCTTGGGATACAAGCACTCATGGAATTCTTCACCCAGAGCCAAGGACCTGGGATCTCAGGCCAGGGCATGCTAGGGGTTATCAGACGTGAGCCCCTGCGGTCCTCTCCAACGGTGGGCCAGGTGGCTCCCGGCACTGACCCCCACCCCACCCTGGGAGCCTGTGACTTCCTTGCCTAACAGAGCCCCTCCTCCTCTGTCCTTGCTGCAGATTGAAATGCTAGAACACAAGTACGGGGGCCATCTCGTGTCCCGGCGCGCCGCCTGCACCATCCAAACCGCCTTCCGCCAGTATCAGCTTAGCAAGAACTTTGAAAAGATCCGCAACTCCCTGCTAGAGAGCCGCCTGCCTCGGCGGATCTCCCTGCGCAAGGTGCGGGCGCCCACTGCGGAGAGCTTGGCGGCCGAGAAGGCGCTCATGGAAGGCTATGGGCTCATGGGGCTGCCGCTGGTGCGCTCGCCCTCCCTGCCGCCCACCTTCGCGGGCACCCTCACCGAGCTAGAGGACTCCTTCACCGAGCAAGTGCAGTCCCTGGCCAAGTCCATCGACGACGCCCTCAGTACCTGGAGCCTCAAGACCATGTGCTCCCTGCAGGAGGGCGGCGCTTACCAAATCCACCAGGCCCTGCACGCAGGCTCCGGGCAGCCTAGTCTGGAGGCTGAGATGCAGGAGCCGGAGAACGCAGGTCCAGGGCCGGGGGATGAGGGCACGGAGGCTGCCGGCCTGCCCCAGGGCCACGGCGGGACCCTCATGATGGCTTTCCGGGACGTCACGGTGCAGATCGCCAACCAGAACATCTCGGTCTCCTCCTCCACGGCTCTGTCTGTGGCCAACTGCCTGGGCGTGCAGACAGCCCAGGCCGCAGCAGAGCCTGCGACCAGCAAAGGCGAGCAGGGCGAGGCCCGGGAGGTCCCGACCATGGGCCAGGGGGACGCGCCCGGGGAGGACACAGGCGCAGAGGCAGCGGCCGGCCGGGCCCCTGGCAGCCCCCAGCCAGTGGCCGCTGAGGCAGTGATGGAGGAGGCCGTGGCTGCCGAAGCAGAGGAAGAAGAGGAGGCTGGGGAAGCAGGGAAAGGGGCGGAGACCGAGGTGGGTGGCAACTCGGAGCAGCTGAGCAGCAGCAGCACCTCCACCAAGTCGGCCAAGTCGGGCTCCGAGGTGTCGGCCGCGGCATCCAAAGAGGCCCTGCAGGCCATGATCCTGAGTCTGCCCCGCTACCACTGCGAAAACCCGGCCAGTTGCAAGTCGCCCACGCTCTCTACCGACACTCTGCGCAAGCGGCTCTACCGCATCGGGCTCAACCTCTTCAACATGTGAGTGAGCTCTGGCCTGGTGGTGCTCGGGAGGCTGGGAAGGGCTGGAGGGAGGCGAAAGAGGGGGAGCTGGATTTACAGAGCACCTCATCTCTGCCGCACAGGGGTGCCAGGCAATTTACCACCTCGTTCCAGGGTGGTCCTGCCACTCCTGACCCTGGAGATAATGTTTAGAAAGCACACGTTTTATTTTTGCTTACAGATTCAAGAAGCATTAGGGGAAAATAACACATCAAACACAGGTTTTCACAGCTATTACTGATTAAGATGAAGTGAGGGATTGAAAAGTAGGAAATTTGAAAAGAAAATACAGGGTCGAGTGAATAGCAGCACAAGCAGTATGAAGACAGAACAAGAATTGTTCATGTCTTAGATGAAGTTAGGGAAACAGCAGGGTTTCCTGGGCTTGGCAAAATAAGCTACTGGGTGAAGAGAGAGGAGAGAGACATACTTCAAGTGCATTGGGAGGGTCAGAAGGGGGTGGGGCTGAAGAAAGAGGAGACAAGGAAGGGAATGTGAAGCAGGCAGAGACAGAGCAAAAACAGAATGGAGAGGCGGAAGGAGAGAAATGAATAACTGTCTTAATTCAGAGACTTCAATCAGAGCATTTCTTGCAAACAAAATGTATACAGCCAGCAAGAAGCAGCGAAAACAGGCACGCTCCTCTCGCCAAAATGTAAAGTCCCTAAGACCCGCATCACCCTACACCCACCTCTCCATAGTTCTGGGCCCAGAGGGCCATGTCTCCTGCCTACATGTGTGTTCGTGAACTCATTCAACTGCTGTTTACTGACTGTCAAACACTGTGAGCATGAAGATGAGTGAGACACAGCCCCTGACCTCCAGACCCTCACTACCATCCACAGCTCCCCGACAAAGCACCTGATGTTGTTTTACAGAACAGGAAACTCCCTCACACAAGCGAGGCGCACTGCAACCCGTTACACCGCTAGGATGAAATCCACTGTTCCCTTTTCCACATCAGGCTGCTGCCGGCTGATCGCAGCCCAACCCTGCCCAGCCCCATATCCACAGGACCACTTCTGCACGCGCACAAAAACTCAAACCAACATTCGTAGCCCTCAAGACAGTGACTCTCAGACCACCTCCAGGGGAAGACTAGTTTGCCCCCACCCCTTATGTTGTGGGCAGATGCTTTTGTAAAACGCAATAAAAATGAATTGTTAGAAAAACAGTCACATGCTTGGTTGTCCCCAGAATGTCAAAGTGTTATAGAAGCCTCCAAATGCTTACCCTCGCTCTCTTTGCCTACCTTCTCTGGACCCCATAAGATACGGCTCGGGGAGTAGCGTGGGTTTGCAGAACAAGTCCAGGTGTCTTAGGACACAGCCCTCACACTCAGGCTGGCGCTGAGAAGGAGACACTGGACACAGAACCCTCGTGTCCTCCGTGCAGAGGGAAGAGGGTCCATTGCCCCCACCCTCTCTCCAGGCTCCAGGGTGGGGGCATCCGACTTGGACCTCAGGACACAGGCAGGCACCAGGGCCTCCATGGCAGACTAGGGGAGAGCAAGGCAGGGGCAGAGGGGAGCACTTCTCCTCCCCTGCTCTGGGTCCCCTGGGCTGCACCCGGCCTCCTTTCCCATCCTGGCCCCCTGCCCTTTCTCTGTGTGAGGAGGTTCAGGTGAGAGGTACTTCCTTGAGGGCTCCTGCATGGTGGGAGTCCTGGGAACTCGGTTTCCAAGGACGTCTGGGCTCTTTTATGGGTTTCATGGCTGGAAGACATGGTGGTCAGAGGTCCCAGGCGGTCTTAGCTCACTACTACTTCTCCCCACTCACACTCCTGCCCAGAAACCCGGACAAGGGCATCCAGTTCCTGATCTCGCGCGGCTTCATCCCTGACACGCCCATTGGCGTGGCACATTTCCTCCTCCAGCGCAAGGGCCTCAGCCGCCAGATGGTCGGAGAGTTCCTGGGGAACAGCAAGAAGCAGTTCAACCGCGACGTGCTGGAGTGAGTGCCCCGCGCTCCGGGCGCCCGAAGCTCCCTCATTCCCACCCTACCTGCCCAGCCTCCCAAGATCTCAGCCAGGACCTCCAAAGCCTCAGCGATCCCCCCCCCCCCGCGCTAAGTCGTCGCTCCCGCCTTGACAGCTTCCTGATTGGCTGTCGGATTGGGCGGGCCAAAGTGACGTAGTCTTTAGCCAATCACCTCCATTGGTCTGAGCTGTTGCCTCCCTTCTGGGGGGTCATTTCATTCATCAAGGGCCCAGGCGCCATTCCTGGCTTGAAGGATGGTTTCTGTCAAAGGAGGCAAAAAGTCCTCTGCCACCAGCCAGGACAAGAGAAAGAGCCAAAAATATAGAAAGATGTGTCAGTGCCAGGTCCCAATCTACTCTCTCGCTCGCCTGTCCACTCCCTAGGATCCTATCCCCAGGCTCATTTTCGCATTGGTGGAGGCAAAACATGAAGAAAAAAAGAAGGGGCTGTACGGAAAGTTCTTAGAACAAGAAAATACTATGATGCCATAGAGATAGATTGACCAACAAAATTGCAACAAACAAAACTGGCTTCCTGCCGGCTCCTTCTGCAGAGTGGCGGAGCAGGATGGCTTTCCCTGGGGCTGAGGTGAAGACCCCAGGGCCCTCCTCCCCTGGGAACATTAGTAAGACCACTGAAGGCGGCTGCACCCTCCCACTCCCCAGAGTGCTTTCTTCTACTTAGCCCACTACACTCACTTCCTTCTTGAAGGTCCCTACCCGCAGGGAATGATCGGCCCCCATTTCTCGCCCCTGTTTCTCTGGGAACAATCAGTAGAAGTGTTTCTTTGAACTGCCCCTTTTGTTTTCTGCCCCTAGAGCCTGAAGGGCGCCCTGAGAGGGGACAGGGCCCCTCCTGCCCAGGTGTGGCCCCTGGATGGGAGCTGAGAGACAGGTCTCTTATTCACGGAGCAGTCTTGGCACTGTATTACCCAGGGCACAAGTCCCTGCTCTCTGTGTGGAGAAGGGAAGGATTATGAAGGGTGGTCCAGTTGTCTTCTCAGAATGAGGCTGGGCATCCTTTGTGTATTTGGGGACAGGCTCCGCTCATGGTCAGCAGGAACTGAGCCCTCCAGGGGGTGGACCCTGTCACCTTCCTGAGTTCAAAGATGAGTGGCTGTCTGAGTGCAGGTAGGAAACCCAAGGCTTAGAGCTGACAGAGGGACCTTGAAATTCCTGCAGGCCGCTCCTGGAGATGGAAATCAAACCAATAAATATCCAGCACTTCCCTTTCACCCTCCTTCCTTCTCTGACTCCCTTCTCTCCTCTATCCCTTTACCTCCACCCTGCTGTGGGGGTGCCCTGAGGGAATGATTCAGGAGTCTGGCATATATCCGGGAACATAGGAAGAAAAAGACCTCATTTTTCTTCTTTCCACGCTCCCCCCTCCATTTGGCTCATCTCTGCCCACTTTTCATGCCTTTGCCCTTTCCCTTTCCATTCACTTCATTCTTTCCCACTGCCCACACCCCCAGGTGACCCTGCCTCTCTCTACTCTGGGGACAAGAGTGGCCCTGCTTCCTCCACAAGCTCAGACTATTTTCTTCTGTTGCCCACAGTCCCCATGTGGCTGTTCCTGGATTCTAAGGCGCCAGGCCCACACTGATCTGGTGTGGGGAACACAGGAGTTTTCTTTTATCAGCCCAGTTCATGCTGAGCAACACAAGGAAAACTAATTGCCATCCTCCCTGGGAGACGGAGTGTGGGGGAGACCAGGACAGCCAAGGAGCGAGCTAGCTGGGCAGTGAGTGTGGGGGCAGCAGGCTGCAGGCTCAGACCAGGGGTCTGTGCTGAGAGGGGTGGAGCTGGCCTGGGCAAGTTCCATGCGAGTGGGCCGGGAGAAGGTGGACTCTACCTTCGTGACCTCTTCCAGTGAAAAGGCAGCAAACAGGAGAAATGACTGGACCAGGGTTAGAACCCTGGCCCTTCTCCTAGGACCTGGGTACTGAATAGCTTTGGCAAGTCATTTCTGTCCGGGCCTCAGTTTCCTTGCTGTAAAATGAGAGGGTTGGGCCGTGTGATCTCACAGTCCCCCCAAGTCCTGTGAATCTATGTCTTTTCATAGTGCATTTGTCAGTCACTGGTTTTGGTCATGGAGAATCATCTGCCCTAAACATTGAGGCCAGGCTTTGTCATCCTCCCAGAGCATCTCATAGAAACCCTAAGGCTCCAGACCTGTGCTGAGGAAAATGAGATGATTATTTACTATTCACTCAACAAACATGAAGTGCCTACCACATGCTGAGAGTAGGGCTAGGCTGGGAATCCTATGGGTGGAGGACAGGAATGTGAGGACAGGAATGGCTCATGGTGTGAGGGAACACAGCCATGGAGAGAAATGAGAAAGTTGCATAGGAAGAAAGCAGAGAGATCACAGGCCCCTCTGATGTTGGGACCGGATGAGTGCAGAGCCAAGCCCATTGCTGTGCACGATTCTGCACACCAGTGCAGCCCCACAAAAAGGAGCCTTGCTCCCCCATGGCTGCTAGTTTGTGTCAGAGTGGAAAGGGCTCCCCCTGTGCCAAGCAGACAAGCAGAAGCAGGAAGAGGTAGAGCCAGAATGGGGCTTCAGCCACGCATCTGGATCCTCTCAGGATGCACTGTCTCTTCCATTCCCAGCAGGGAAAAACACGCAGGGACCTTCCCAGGGCCATGTTGCCCAGGTCGGGAAGGTTTCACTGGGATTCTGTGCGGCTCCCCTGCCCCCGCCTGGTGACATTCAGCAGTCACATCCGTTCTGTACAAAGCTGCATGCCAAATAAAAGGACGTCAATCACCCATCCCCTGGGAGGCAGAGATGGCCAAGCCACAGCATTCCCCGCCCCCCAGAAGCAGCTGGGTAAGGGAGGATGGAGTTGAAGCCCCTCTTGAAGGGGAAAGCGGGTGAGGGACCACTCCGTGGCTGCAGGGGCTAGGAGGAGAGGCCAGAGCAGAATCCCCTGCTGCTGCAGACCTGAGTCTGTGCACCACAGACGCCCTGACATTTGCTTTCGGAGCCGGAGCCTCCACGCACTTGGAAGCTGACATGTCTACCCTTTTGGATCTCATTTACACAGAAGACATATTCCAAGAAGAAATGTTTTCCATCGGGTTTTTTCAAATCAAAATAGAGGGCATCCAGGGCTCAGAGGGCCATGCCTAGTGCAGGGTTTACCTGCCAAGGTTGTTCGTTGGCTTTTAAAGGAGAAATCAGCCTCAGTGTCCACATTTGTAAAAGGGCAATGATAGCACCTGGCTCCTGTGCATTCAATGTTTAAAATGTGTGTGAAGAGATTAACTCCGTGCCTGGCCCTTAGGAAGTTCTCTGTAAATGTTAGCTGTTTCTGTTATTATTGTTCCTCTGAAAATCTGGAGGCATTAGAAGCCCCTTGAACGTCCCAGATCTGGTTTGAAGTCAGACCTACTCACCCGAGAACAACCTGCTGGATTTGCTAGGGTTTTCTGAGGGAAGCAGAAGCCCATTCCGGGGGCCACTCTGATTCTGAGGGTACCTTCTCTCTCTGCTGAAGAGAGACACCCCACAGACCCAGCCCTGGGAGCCAGAGAGCAGCCAGCTTAGGGTCCTTTGGGACCAGAAACACCCCCTTCACCTTTTTCACATGGCTGGCAAATTTGCCTCTGCTCTATTTCCTTCCCCAAACATCAGCTTCAGCAGATTTAAAGGCTGGCAGATGGGGAATGTTCGTGCCGGCTGTGAGTGATCTCTTTTCTAGCCCGAATGATTCTTTCCGATGTGAATCACATACACAGGGAGGGCATCAGTATCCATCATTTCCACAAAATTGCACCAAGGGCAGCTTTGGGGTTGATCTGCTGGTAGCAAGTTTCCTGGGTGTCCCTTCCCCACTGCATCTACCCTGTCCTTCACGAAATCCTAAAACAGAGTTTGATGTTTGGGTCAGATTTCATTATTTCATTTCCATTGCAAAGTGTTGGCCAGAGTTTAACAGATTGTTCTTCTTAAGGGACATTTTGAAATAAAGACAGATTGTCTGTCAAACTCAGCAGTCTGGAAGGCTCTAGTCTTTCAGCACTAGGAAGACATTATTCAAGAACATCCTGCCCACTGTGCTATGTGTAATCTCAGGACAGTTACTTTTTCCCAAGGAATTCCCATGAGGAAGGGGAGAGCAGGCTGGGCCCAGGCAGACCCTGGTGGGTTTGAAGGAAAGTTAAAAGAGGCCTGGGATAAGCTGGCATAGAATTGATATTATTTTCACTGCTTTGAGAACTTTACCCTGCTACTACTCAGTGAAATAGGAGAATGTCATTTTAAAAAGTGGTATCTTTGGGGCAATGGGGGTGTAGCTGCATGGTATAACTCTTGCCTAGAGTGTGCAAGGCCCTGGGTTCCATCCCTGGCACGGCCCCCTGCAAAAAAGTGGCATCTTGGGGTTATGGCCTTAGCCTTTCACCTTTCCGGGCTCCCACATACACATATCCCCCTACACCACAGATAGATAAGGACTCTCCTGAACAGTAAAGAGTCGTGAGAGTTGAGAATTCCCTTACCCCAGTGTGTGGAAATCTTAGGGTCCCTGAGTGTGGAATGAACAAGTCCAGGGTTGACAGTCCTTCTAACATGCTCACGTTAACATGTAAACTGGAGCTTTACACAAAATGACATACCTACCACCCACTCCTTCCTGATTAGTCAGGCCTCAGAGCTGGAGGAGTCTATCAATCCCTGTGGGACATCAGTTGTAGCTTCAACTGACCACTCTCTGAAGTGGGACTTCTGGGACTGGCTTTCAGGGAGTCATCTTGCCCTGATGTTTTTTCCGCAGAGCCAATGATGAGAAAGATAGCTGAGCTGCCTAATGACGACAGTTCCCATGTATCCTCGACTGTGTGCCCGTGGGCACTGCTCCAGGAGCCTCCCATCCGCAGCCTCCTTCCGTCTCTGCAGCAGCTCTGTGGATGCTGTTCATTTCTGTAAATAGAGAAACTGAGGAACAGAGAGGTTAGGTAGCTTGCTCACAGTCACAGAGCTCATTGATGGCTTAGATCTGGGCGGGCAGAATGAACCCTTAACGCCCAGTATCTACACTTCATCCCGGGAGAAATGTGATCTGCATGCACTTACAGTCCTTGTCAGTCCACTTCTCAGCACAGAGAGACTCCT